GTACATGATTATTGAAGAACCATCGAAGTTTGAGAATCACAAGTCCAGGCATTTTGTTCAATTTTGTTGTATTTATAAGTTCTTTGTAAGTTTTGTTGTATTTATTTGGTTGCAATTTGCATTAATACGCGTGATGAAGAAAACACTAAAGAAATCACGACCATGATGGAGCCTCTTTATATATAGCCAAAGTCCAAATATCATTAATATATAGAATTGATACATTACTTACAGAGAAATATACAGCACAACAAAATGACTAATTAACTACAGTTATTATACATTTAATATGTATTCTCGTTTCTAATTGGTCAGAAAGCACCGGCTAATATTCAGTATTCGGCATTTATTACGTATTTTCCGCCGATGACGTCATCAGCGTCCAATAATTGTTTTTTTGGATCGAACTTGCATCCAAAAAAAAAATTATTGGACTCTCTCGTGCCCAAACCCTTGCGCGGCCAAAGGCTTGAACCTATAAGCGCGCGAAAAAAACAAACAAACAATGGCCTACAGCAGATTTGCTTCGCTGAATGAAAGTGAACTCTCCAAATTATTGGCAGATAAGGATAGTGAAAGCACGAAAAAGCCACAAAGGGGTAAATAGAAGTAGAAATAGAATATTTAACTGACCTTTGACTTTGTGCAATGTGTTTGATATTCAAATTGTACTTTTCCTACCTCATGAACAGGAATCGTTTTATACGTTTCTCATGTCTTTAAATGTATAATAAAACAATTATTGGATTCGGTTTTCGCATGATATCAAGAATTATTCAGACCTCGGTCTATGTTATCCGCCTCAGCTTCGCTTCGGCAGATAACATTGACCTCGGTCTGAATAATTCTTGATATCATGCTCAGCCTCATCCAATAATTGCTTATTATTACCAGCAGAGTAGCAGACAATTTCGCAAAATCATCAGGTGAAACACACTTTAGATGTCTTTAAACTCAGGATTCGAGTTATTGTTACCTTATTACAGTGGCACAAGAAATGTCGGAATATATCATTTTAAATCTTACCATGTTGTCCTGCGAAATTTCTGTTCAAACCACCAGCATTAATTTTCTCAATATTTGCAACGGAAGTGCCATGAAAGAGCATCAATTCTTTGTCTGCAAAGTTACTGCCATATTTTTTCATCATTGCTTGGCGTTTCAGATTATAATGGCCATAAATTTCTCCATTTTGAATTCTTTCGATGCGAACAATTCGATTCGGAGCAGTTTTATGGAATGCAGTTTCAACGTCCTTGTATTCTTTACTGCTGGTGGACAGAGGGATCTTGTGGAATTTCTTTTCAGTCGGTAAGCTATCCCAATACACTGGAACTTAAAATGGATATATAGTAGTTAGAGTAATAATCAAATTATGTAGATTAAGAACAGACATGGTAATTATTGTAACTAATGTTAACTTGTCCCAATCTAACGCCAGACGAATCTACTTCAGAAGAAAAACTCTTGGATGTTAATCAGTGTATTTTTCAATTAATTTAAATACGTCAGTCAGTGCGTGTGAGAAATCTCTGTAAAGGATTTACAAACAAGAGTCAAAGGCGAGTCCTTGTATATCCGGAATAGGCAGACATGCTTTATGATGGTCATTTAATATTTATTTTTAGATGAATTTTACGGACAATTTTCCAACTCTAATTTTCATGTTACAGTTCATTTTAGCTTAGGAAATCGAAACCGACGTTTTTGATTTGCAGATATTGATGGTTTTATTCACTTCCTTCGCGAATTATTAATGTGCATAGCATTAAAAACATATTAACATTAATTACCTTAGTTCATCAAAATTTTACCTTTGCTTTCGTTATCTTTGACATCCTTCAGAATTTTAATAATCCTTTCTTGAACAGTTGCAACGTCAGCAAAATATCCTTCCATTGTAACCATCCCTTTGTTCTTATCAACATTAATCTTAACGTCATTATCGCGCTCCAGTACAAGCAGCTTCTCAAGATCGCGATCAGTAAAATTCCTGACGACGTCATTGTTTATGATCTTCTCGTCAATATTTTGACATATCTTTCTCCTCAATTCTCTCCAGGCCATGTCAATCTTCCCGCGGTCATCGGAATAAATCCTGATCGATATGCTTTCATCTCCTCCTACCGACTTTGCGGATTTTATAAAATGACTTGCGCATGCGCCGACTGGCTGTGGGTCCGAACTAGTGGCACCCCCCGAGGAGAAATAAGCTTTGGTTGCGTCTTTGAATTTAATAAACTTCGCTTTTTCCAAAATCACAATGCGGATTAAACTTAAAGCTGGATTTTTCGACTTTGCAATTCTGGACAAATTATCAAAGATCAAATCGGCCGATTGTCTCTCGGAGAAACCCATCGCACCAGCTCCTATAGCTGAAAAAGAAACCTTGGCGATATTCTTCGTCGAAACGTCATCGAAAAATGTAGCCAGACATTTTTTAAGGTCGGCAACTTTCATCGAGGACGGTGCAATGACGTGAGCGATCTGACGAACAGCCAATCTCCCCGCATTTGAATACTGCGTCGAATAAAGGGCAGGCTTTCCGAGTGCCTTGCATTCTTGAATGATACTATCACCTCCCGCTTTTATGAGAGCTTTAGCGACCCCACCCTTAACAGAGAAATCTTGACCGATCACGTGCATGATTAGATCAGTCTTTTCTTTGCTGATATCACCGCATACTATCTGAACTGTGAGATTTCTGCTTCCAAGCCAGAGTTCTAGAGATCCGTCGTGTTTTTCAGTAAAGGTAACGTCGCTTTGACTGCCTGCATTTGGTACAACTTTATTTCTGAACAACAGTACAGGCCGCGTTTCTTTGCGTAAAATCTCAGATTTAATTTCCTGAAGTGCATCTATACGTGCTTTCCCGTGCTTTCTTGTACGTGATAAAATCATTTTAATTCGTAATTCCTGAAGTGCATCTATAAAGAATAATAGGTTAAAGTAAAGGTAAGAGGACGCGGCTCAAACGTGACTGAGACAAAGACTAACTACGAAACTTCTGACTGCTACGATTTCTGATCTTAGAGCACATCGCTGGAGAGTGTAACTTAATTGAATGCAAAATGTATATTGTCTTCAAATGTAGACTGCGAGCGGTCCCTCCCTTCACCACTCGCGGTCTACTTCAAATGTTACGCCCCCCCCCCCCCAACCTCGCTCTCAAGAAAAAATATAACGTAACAAACCTAGAAATGCGTCTACCGTTGCTTGGTCGCCATTGAACGCCACAAAGTGAACTTCTTCGATGGTCGACTGAGGGTGGGCTGTGAAGTAATCAGTTACTTCATCAAACAAGATTTTTGTAACTTCTGGACGCGGGCAATGCAAGTTTCCTGTGCCGATGGCGGGAATGGCGATAGATCTTAGTGTATCTTTCTCCATCTGATCAAGACATTTTTTGATGAGCGTACCGAGAATCTAAAGAAGAAAATTGTTTTAATTTAATCCCCATTCAAGAATATCTACTCTTATTGTACAACATCAGATCACTTTAAGGTAGCCGACACACAATCATAGTTAATTTAGCCGTGTGTTCTGCACTCATCAGGTCACAGATAAACTCAGGGATAAATACGTTTATCCCTGAGCGAGGCTTGGACAATAGACAAAATCAAAGCTAGAAATCAAACTGGCGTTACCTGAGCTCCTTTACCGCTGTCCCAGGGAGATGCACGAACATGATAAACGCGTTTACAGTTCAATTTAGCCGACCCAGTTGATGCCATGTCTCCCACCTTAAGACTTCCGATTTTCTGACATTCACTCAACAATTCCTTACCAGCCACCTTAAGTAAAGCCCTTCCACATGCGTTAGCGTTCAAATCTATTTTTTGATTTGTTGTATTTACAATGACGTCGACCTGAAAGAATAAGAATATTTATGAATCGTGGGACTTCACCACTTCAAATAACTCAAATAGAAAAAAACACCTCTGTCAGTTCTTCTCCCTATAGAGATCCAGTAAGATTCACCATTTATTGGTTCCGTGTTACAACTTACAACAAAAGGAAGCCGAAGTTATTTCATAACTTCAGTTATTTCATAACTAAGAAATTCCCTACATGGGATTGAAGTAAAATCGGAATCAGACAGCTGCTTATTGCAGGAATTAAATCCCGGTCGCGAAAGTGAGAATTAAACAGTAATACTTTAAACAGTTATATGCCAGGGCATTTTTTAACTATATAACTGGGGGGGCCAAAGCCCCCCCAGCCCCCATGGTGGCCCCCCCACTCAACCATTTTGGCCCCCCCAGTCAAAGTCCCTTTTCTCTAAAATATAAGCAAAACATGGAATTTAGAAGGGAGGTTTGATATTCTAGTAACTGAAATTTGCTTTGTGAATCTTATGTCCTGTCTTTTATGTTTAATAAATACCTTATTAGATTTTAAACATTTCCTAGGCAGTGGATTGCATTTCCCAGACCCTATAGATTTGAGTTGTTGGACAAGTTAGTGACCGCAGGGGGCAACAGGCCCTCAACCAAGTGTTTTATAAGGGGGGGATAATTTTGGCCCCCCACCAAAAAAAAACCAATTTGATTTCGAAACTAGAAGTATTTGAAATCATATATACATATAATCAAATATCAGTAATCGATATTTTTATAACATTTCTCGTAATAATCCATCCTGACTCGCGGATATCATAGACTCGCAAATCATAATGAACGAATTAATGAAAGGGCCTAACAAAAGACATATAGAAGACTTTGAAAATGCCATTTCCGACGATTTAGAGACGCAAAATTGTTCCGCTCTGTGCCAACCATGGTGGCGCTTCGTGGGAGTCGGGAACTCTAAGTTTATCAAGCTGGCTCCCTAAGTGACGGCCAAGTTGTGGTATCTACATAAACATACTATGCAAGTACTTAACTGAAGGTTCAGTCTATCTACAGCATAATGTAATGCTGTATATCCAAAAATCTGTTTCAGAAAATGCAGGGAATTGCAGTCATAGGGGTAGAAAAATACAAAAATTTTCTGGGAGAGAAAACCTCAGACCCTCTCCAGGGCCGTAGCAACCGCAGGGGGGGGGCTGGGGAGCTGCAGCCCCCCAATAATTTGCTAATAATCATTCATTTTTCAAATTCATGCAGACCTTTATCATTTAATCCATGACAAACTGCAAAGAATGAAGATATTACCCATACTTTCCTGCAACCTATCCAATATATTGTTAATTAAATACGCCTTCGCCCATTTAGTACTACTGAATTCTAAATTTCCACATACTAAAAAGTCCAGGAAATGGCATTTCAGAGACTCTAAATTTAAAAATTTCCTCGGGCCTTAGGCCCTCGCTTTCAGCCCCCCCAAACGAAAAGAGCTTCCTACGGCCCTGCTCTCCCCCCCCTACCATTAAATTCGATACCACACCAAACTTTTTGTTACCAACAAACCATCTATCATTGCTCCACACTCGGTATAGTATGGTCCCTTTTTGTAGATGGCCCCCCCACTGACGAATTCTTAAAAAATGCCCTGGTTACATGCAATAACCCCTGTAGCACCAATACTTCAAATATACCTTTTGTTGTGCCAAATCTCCAACTATTATCCTTATCCTGTGTCCCAACACCAGTTTAACGTCTTTATCACTTATGAAGGACATAGAATTATACGGCAAATTCATCGTTGATGCACCACCATCTCCTTTAGTTTTTTCATGTGTTTCCTCGGGCTGTATATCTTTTTCAATAACACATTTGTAGATGTTCTCAATATGAGAAATAATCACGTTCATTGCTTCCATACTTATCTGTTTTTTCATGCCAGGTTCAGTCAGAGGATACGCCTGTTGATGAAAAGAGTAAGTTTACATCGTAAGAGTAACATTACTGGGCTGCTGTGTGTTTCACTAGGCACTATTATGTAGCATATGGTGGTCAACCTGTAGTCAACAGTGCAAGAAAATAATATTAACTCTTTTCATTATATGTAGTTATTAATGTATTTCTTTCATTATATGTATTTAAATGTATGGAGAAACGGTAAGAACGTTCAAGGGCAAAACGGAACACATCAAATAGCCCTTACTCTATCATTTCTCTGGCTTTTTGTTGCACGAACGAAATACGTACCTTAAAGTTAACATTTCCAGCCAGCTTTTCAAGAAAAACTATCATATCTTTTCTGCCTGCCTGGGTTCCCTTTACCTCAAGAGAGCAAGAATCAATTTCCAGAACAGTAATGCCTTCTGCTTTGCAACTTCTTTCCTTCTCTTTAATTTTTCCCCAGCAGTGGTCCCTTAAGAAACGAACTGTCATCGGATCCATGGGTCGAAATATACTGCTTCCAATCTTCTTTTCGTTAGTTAGATTTGCTAGTTCTTGTTCGGCGTTGTCCATCTTAGATTTTTCACAGACGATCCAGATGTTGCAAGGATCTGTGAGTTCCTGGTCGATCAAGACTAGATGTTGGTCAAACTGTTCCCTCTTGAATTCTTGTAGTTTGTTTGATTTTGCCAGGAAGCACGCTGTCTCCTCGTCGACTCTGATGGATTTCTCTGAGGTTTTTGTATGGATGATGTACAGAAGTCGTTTTTCCTGTAAAAAGATCTATTATTACTGATTTGTATGGCTAGCACTTTGAACGAGACGTAAAGCGTTACAAAACACTATTTAAACTACACCGTTCTCTTGGGAATCGAGTAAGGCCAAGGGTTATCTTTTACTGGTCTATTGTTACTACAGGAGGAGATCCAAACTGGGCTCACATTATTTATACTGAACAGCTCTATCAGATCTAAACTGTTCTACAGTACCTACTGTAGAGGTCCAGTAACTGTCATCCCTTAGTGATCCTGCAGTGTCACAACAGTAAAATATAACAGGGTACCAGGAAAGAAAACCTGTTAATTGGTAAAGACAAACTCAATTGTAGTTACCTGCATAATTTGGGCATCGAGGTGAATAACACCATGATTTATTTTACCCCATCTAGCAACGTCAGACGATTTTACTTGTGTGGGCCAAAAAGAGTTAATAATCAAATTCATTCATTTATTTTATTTAGTATTACCTCAGTATTATCACATTTCTTCAAGATCATAATTTTAGCCTGAAATGATTTAGCACCCACAGCTCCTATTATGGTCCGCAACATTAACATGACGTCATCTTTTTTTAACTCATCATTCACAATCTGGCATTCAGTCCGCTTCAGAAAATCTAGCTGACGATCACTCATCTTTACGTCAATCTCCGAGATTTTCATCAAATCCTGAAGGATCCTTAATTGGACATCCTTGATTTTCTCTGCCGTTCCTAGAAGTGACAATTTACCTGACAAACTTTCCATTCCGTGAATTTTCACTCCCGTAAATTCTATCATAACATTCTTGAAATAATCGATAAAATTCAAAAACTTCAGTTTACTTCTGTCATCTATTACCAACTCGGTTGTTTCAAACTTGGCTTCTTCTGAAATTCTATCTATCGTTGCTTCTGTTGATCTTTTTTGCAGAGTGACATCCTCTTTCTTCCCAATGAAAGTGACACGGTGACCTTCAAAACTAAAATCGACTTTCTCTGCTTTGAATTCTGCTTTTTTCTCCCCAATCGCTTCCTTGACTTTCTCGAAAACAGGTTTCGGGATTTTCACTTCATCTTTGACAAACGAGTGCAAAAACTCTTTCAATTCGTTTTTAAATTCTTGCGCGAGCTTGGAATCGTCGAACTCTTTTGTAAAATGAAATGTTGAATTATCATATTTCATTGATTTAAAATTGAACTTTGTTTCAATTTCCTGATGATTGATTATGTAGTCCATGATGAAAGGTTCGAGATGATAGTCGCCACAGAATTCTGTTGTTTTAGTTGTAATTTCTTGCAGTTCATCAAATTCGTCATAGTACGGAATTACTGTTAAGGGAAGTTTTTGAAATATATGTTCGTTTTTCACGAGTTCAGAAACAACTGTAAAAGATACAAACCGTTACTCGTTAGGGCGGTATTTTTAAACTTTTATTAACAATAATAACGATGTCATTTCAAAAGTGGGCAAAAACAATCCTAAATCAAATTATCAAAACACGTATCACAAAAATCCGGATCAATACCCGAAGATTTTTCGAAATAAACATTTGCGAGTCCATTGTTTCTATCCAGCATCATGTCCACCACTTTACTGCCGCCGTATTTTGGGTTTGAGAATTTAGACTTGATGGCATCAGGGGTTGTTCCTGGTGGGATATTGCTGACTCGTATGCCTTTGGTCAGCGGAGCAAATTCCAGGGAAATAATGGAACCTTCTAGCTTCAAATCTTCACCTGAGCTTTCTATGTTCGAATATTCTTCGTCTAAATATAAAAATTTTTCAATCGAATATTAACGTGAACTTCGAGTTCGAACATAAATTTTAGTACACTTCCATCCCACTCACAAGTTAATTAACAGGTATAAATTTAATCACTAAACCCAAAGCGTATATACCCTACCTATTTCACTTTTTAATATCACGATAGCTTTATTATCTTTCCCCAAAACAACCTTTAAGACGTCAACACTTTTTGTTAATTCTACAAAGTTTTGAAAGGTTTCTTTGCTCGTCTTTGGATTAAGGTTTTTTGCCAATAGAATGCTTCTGTCATGGGTTGGCTCAAATACAGTGCTCACTTTTAACACATTTCCCTCCAGTATGAGCGGTTTTTTATTGGCTTTCTTGAGCACATTTTGTGCGTCTAAACATATAGATTAAAATTTTATATTGATAGTTACTTAGTACGTCATTTTAATTAAACATTGCTTTGAGAACACGAGGAGAAAAAACAAAAACGTTTGAACAGAATGGATGATAAAAAGTTAACTAAGAGAGGATGGGAGGAACTTCTCAGAGGAAGATCTAGAGAAAAACACAGACATTCCAACCACTGGAGCTAAACATTAGCGAGACTATTCAGTGGGTTCTAAAGCAAAGCGAAATCTAATTACTCGCTGGGGCACCTGTGCCCTGGCGAGTATAGGTTTCGGCTCTGATTTTTCTCCGATTGATAGCCACAAAATAGAATACTAATGAGCCACCACCCTTTTACCCAAATTATCCATTTGGCTCCTGCTAATTTTTACCCAAATTATCCATAAATAACCCTAACTATTGAGCACAATTCAAGAATATTACTAAAAAAGCCAAAGCTGCTGTTTATTTTAACCAGTATGAACATGTTTACGTTCTTTTAAAACTGACATTTTACTGCATTGAGGATTCAACGACAAGAACAATGAATTTGGAGATGTGTTAATGCCAAATAAATCCTGTTAAGCGGTCAAAATGACATCTTATAGCCCGACAAAAATAGAAATACAAAGTAAGAGACAGCGATCGCCGATGGCGATGCACAGGAACAATTGTATGAAATATAAACTCGATATAAGACTGCTAATTAAGTGCTAACTATGCTTTTGTAAGAACAGAGTAGACCAGACACAGTACTAACTAAATGCGGTGCTTTACAAATAAAACTTTCATGCGATTCCACCTACAAGCTGTGCTACATGTAAAGGTTATATTTTATCATATACGCTACATTCCTCCTGTCAGCGGACAGTTGTTCCACGCGCATGGTTAAAACTTCGCTTTAAAACCTTCAAAATAAACAATTGTCGGATAAAAATACTATCAAAATGAAGATAAAAGTGAGACGAATCCATTCGTATACGGCCGAAAAGGAGAAAACCAACGATACGAAAGTTATCAAGGAGCAAACGTACTGCATTTTTAAATAGCTGAATAAGGGACGGACCATTAGAAAAGTGATTGGGGG